TCTCACGGTGAATCACTGTGACTCACACTCTGTGTCTGGTTCAGTGTTCAGGGGCAAAGGTCAGACATTAGACCACCCTGTCATGGTTGTGATGAAGTGATTAAAATGGTCACTGTTCCAGTGAGTCTGGATGTACAGCTGCTGCACTAAATTCATTCATATAAAGTTCTTTTTTAATATCAGGATTCACCTGTTTTTGCCTGAAACATGTTCTGTTGTCAACATAACAACCAAAAGAAATGACTTGAACAATAAACTTTAGAGAGCGTTTATGTTTCGCTTTTTCATCCATCAAAGATTTTGAAAACCATCAAATCAACATCCTTATAAGGAAAAGCCAACCTGGATCAGTTTCCATGGAAACCAACAAACAGGTTGGGATGAGAAGAGTGAAGCCAGTGAAGAGAGAGAGAGAGAGGGAGAGGGAGAGGGAGTGGTTTCTACCTTTTGAAAGGTGTAGAACATGAAGATGTGGGGGCAGCAACTATGGGGGAGGAGTGTGAAGTCTGGTGGTGGGGGAGGAGCAGAGGGGTGAGTAGAGTTTAAGCCAAGGAGACATGGGGGTGGGGGAGGAGGATGGAGTGGGGCGGGGGTGGCAGGCCGACGACGACGGTGAGAGGGCAGCAAGAGATGGTGATGGAGTTGGCAGAACGAAGGGATGGATGGGGCAGTGGGGGGAGGGAGGTGGGAATAAACAGTGATAAATGAGGAGGTGGGATGCAGTGTGTTGGTAAGTGATGGGATGGGGGAGGAGGTGGGCAGGTGGATGGATGCCAATTTGACAGCTATAGAGAGGCTTCAGGGTCCAGCTCTGAATCAAGGCCCACAGCATGGAACACAAAGAGAACAAAGACGGAGCAGAGAGCAGCACACACACACACACACGCGCGCGCACACACTCAACTCCTCAAAGAAACAATGTCCACCTTAATTGATTTCTTTAATGACATTCATTTTTTTTACCTCCATGCAGGGGGACAGGCAGCGATCAGGTTGTTAGTTTGTGTCTTTGTTGTCGTCGTGACATTAGTTCAGTCGAAATTGATTTTTCTTATTGAAAACCAACGAAACAAACAAACAAACAAAAAAAGAAAACCTCGGTTCTCAAAGAACCAGGACAAAGTGTGATCAGAATTCCATAGAAGTCGGCCGTCAGGCTTTCAGCACCGTAAACCCTCCTCGGATTTTCCTGCTCAACACTTTATTACTTTTCAAACTCAAGAAGCAAAAATCTAAAGTGAAACCAATCAGAGTTGATCTCTACAGTGATGGAAGACGAGAAGAAAGAGAAGCAGAAGGAAATGGTAAAAAGAAAACCAGAGGAGAGTGAGAATGAGCCAACGGGACAACGCGCTTCCTTCCGTTTGTCCGGTGGATAATCTGATTACTTTTGCAATGACACGGCACCAGATCCTGTCACTGTGACACACACACACACACACACACACACACACACACATTGGATGTCTGGACAGTTACAGCTGAAGTTGTGGACGTAGACAAACCTGGAAGTGTCAGGAGGAAAAAAAAGTTTTCCTTTTCTATTTTAAACAATGATGTGTTCAAAACGTGTTTTTTCAAACAATTGATTTTTTTGGAAATATGTTTTATTTTACATTATTTAAACTTTGCTTGATTTAATTCTTTTTTCTATGAAATGTTATTTATTTTTTCATGGTACTGTTGTTTTGTGTTTTGTCAGAATGAGAATCAGAAGAATCTTAATCACGATCAGTTTATTTAAGAACATAAACATACAAAAAACATGACTTTATTTGTGCATTATAATCTAATAATATTAGAACCTAAAGATATGAAATATCTTTGTGCATTATAATCTAATAATATTAGATCACAATCACATTCACAATAATGATGCCTGAAAAGAGTCTGAATTGACATGCGTCACCTTTCTTCTTGTCCTGACACTTTGTGTCTCTGTTGTACCAGCGTCCTCTTTTGTTCTTTGGCAAGTTTATATAAAAACACGTTACCTTTACTACAGTGAAAACGGACCATGTAGAAAAACCTGCTTTAATAATTTATCTCTGGTGCACTTAGCTGCTTTGCACCTCTTGTAATTTTCACCGCAGTGATGATGATCATCATTGTTACTGTCAGTCTGTGGTTGGCTGTTTGCTGCTGCAAAACTCTCATTTTGGACATGAAGACTCTTAGTCGTAGAGTCTTAGAGCTGAAACCACATCCATGGATTGAAATGTTTTGATCTTAATTTTCTGGAATCCAAAGTTTTGTTTCTTTGATTTCGCTGCAACGAAACATTGGTTCCACTGCCGTATTTCTCACAGATCTTTATCGTGACGAACATGAAATCCAACAACCACTGTTAAAATTGCAGCTCTATAGATGTAGGTAAATGATGACATCTATCCATCCATCCATCATGACATTGTACAACATCATCACTGTCCATAATTCTTGGACAAACTTTCTATTACATTTGTTTTATTTCAATGATGGACATCGCCAACAGCGCCATTACCAAAATGAAGCCGACTTCAGCGTTATTAGCTGATGAATTTAGCACCAAAACCTTATGAGATGTTAAACCTGCTGTATGCCTATAACAACGTCAAGGTTATTTATTAAAATAATTAATTTTATAGTGTAATATAAACCAACTGCCACCCACTGGGTTGACTGACTTTATTATTATTTTCTATGGTACAGTAACGTTAACATTACTGTGCTTCTCTTCAATTCTGAGTGGTGAGCCGTCACTGATATTCTAAGGTTAAAAACTCTTAATGGAACCACTTGATAAATATCAGGACTTAACGTCAAATCAGTCTTAAAAAAGAGAAAATCACATAACATTATATTTTAGTCAGTGAATGGCAGTTGACATATGACATGTCATGGTTCTTAACAGAATGACTTTGATAGATCAAAGGTCTAACGGATGAGCTTTTATCTTTAAAGGAAGACCATGGCCTTTTTTAATGTCTCCTTTCATTGCATGTGTGTTTATGTTCTTTTTAAAAAGTATCCTTACACCGGACTCTCTATTGAGCTGTGTCAGACTGTGAGGAGCCTTTTGCTGCTGCTGCTGCGAGTACAAATTACACCGGTGTTAATTAATTGCCTGAGAATGCAGACAACAACAAAGACAAATGCAGTGAAAGAGAAAGAACAGAGCTGGGAGTCCAGAGACGTGAGTTATCGAGTCGCTGCGATCGCTGTGGATTCTGTTTGTGTGTTAATCCATCAGGCAGAGACGCCGCTGTTCATCTGTATGCAGATGACGACAGCTCATCACTTAGACCATTAATAAGAACAACACAAACAGGCGGAGACGAGAAGAGACTCCGAATGGAAATAATAAGACTTCCATTTAAATTAGTAAAAGCTTTAAATTGTGAGAAGGTGTTTGAGAATGTGATTTTCTGCTGATTACTCTGAGCTCGAGTCCTAAAGAAACACGAGGTCCTTGTGAACTGAACACGTGTGTAAACTTAGTGTCAGTGTTGATTTATGTTCTGATATCTGTTGTGATGACGCTCCATCACCACAGCTTCCTGTGCTGTTTCACCACTGGAGTTTACAGTTTCCTGTAGTGACTGTGGCCTAATGACACAGCTTTTTATTTAGCACATAGCTGCTCAGAATTATGTCAGAGTTGTCTTTCAGTAGGGCGGGCAAGCACGTGTGTTTGTGTGTGTGTGTGTGTGTGTGTTCACTGTAAACGGTTGTCTGATTTTGATGAAGAGTCTAATCCAGTGTGATGAGCACAAGGAAACCCCTCCTCAGAGAGCGCTCTAACAGAGACAGATGTGGGTCAGTGCTGCCACTTGGACTCACTGTGTGAACTACTGTACACACACACACACACACACTTGTATTGTAGAGCCTTTATTTTTGCCTTATATGGAAAGAGCAGGAAACCCTGGCTCTCTTTTACTGTTTCCACAGGCGTGAACATAAACTGTACTGAAAGATGTTTTAAAATAAATTAAGAAAATAATTAATAATAATTTAGATTATCGCATCATAATTTGTTTAACAAACATTTAACCTTTATACTGTAGTTTCTACTGTAGTTTGGATTATTTTATTTTGACGTCAGCGTTAGATTATCGCATCATAATTTGTTTAATAAACATTTAACCTTCATACTGTAGTTTGGAATATTTTATTTTGACGTCAGCAGCACCAGAACTGGACTCATTATTACCTGTCATGCCTGAATACTGTAGACTATTATGTGTCATGAATTATGCACATCCTTCCAGCTCGGAGTGTTCAGTGACATGTACTGTATCTGAGCAGGAAGTCTGTGGACCGGCCTTTCTTGGATAACTGGGAACACACGTGTCAACAATGAGGTTTTCCTTCGTGTCTCAGGTTCAATGGATGTGTTTTTTAAATTCATCATAGAAAATAACAGGCACCAAAAATTAACCATCAAGGTTAATAAAGTAAATGTGAGAAGTCTAAATTTAGAAGTAAACCTCTCCGTGTGCTGCCTGCGTGTTGTTTACTGACAGTAGGAATCTTCAGCGTTGTCTTTCATCTTTAACTGGCACAGCAGCTGTACTGACTGCTCATACAGGAGGGATGACAAAGTGACGTCTAGAGACGTTAAAAATGGCCTCACGCGGCAGAAGTAGAAACAGCTCGGTTCATAAGTTATCTGATTTAACGTGGATTTCCTGCAGACACGTCGGAATCACAGACAAAACATTTCCTCGTTGATTTATTTTCGGTGCTTTCTAGGAAGTCTTGGGGACTTCACTAACTCTGTCCAGTCGTGATGAGAAGAGTGTTGTTGTTCATGGTATTAATGCTGTGTCTACTGTGGTCAAACGAGTGAATGTCTGTCTTCTTCTGTAGTTTATAATGTTTATTTTTAATGTTATGGTCATGATGTTTTTTTCATCTTCTTTTTCATCAACTCCTTTCAGCGATTTCAGTTATTACAGACCGTACATAGAATTCTAGATTCAGCTGTTCACTACATACTGCCTGTTGTTCTCCAGCAGGATGACAGTTCACTGAGCAGCGAGGAGGAGGCAGAGATGAGCGAGCCCACATGGCTAGCAGCTGATCTGGGAGCAGCATCTGACCTAAGTCCGCCCAGTCGAGGAGAGAGGATGCGCCACAGCCCACAGAACGCACACGGCAAGGAGGACGATGGTAGGAGTTTCTACAGTATTTTGTGTAGCGGCTGAATGGGTGTTACCTGCTGATGCTCAACCTGTGGCAACGTCTGGGCTTCTGTAGTTTTCTGTGTATGTATGTGTGTGTGCATGTGCACTTTAGTGTTAGTCTGCCACTCATTGTGAAGTGTGTTGTTGTTGTTAGTGTAATATAAGGCTACGGTCCAAACGTGTCCCCTAATGATCAGTTCTTCTGTGTCACCATCGGTGCTAACCCTAACCCCTGGTCTATTATCTAATCCAAGTCAACAGATTTCCTAATTGACAGTATGAACAAATGCGATCGAATGTTTTTCTAGCAGCTCCGTCCTGGTGGAAAGTTCCAGACACACAGGCTAATTTTAGTGAGAACTATTAGTGACTACGTTTGATTCCTTATATAGAAATGACCATTTACTGAACATGAAGTCTTCCTGTACGTGTTCACACCAGCCAAGTGTTCCAAGGACAGTGAGTGGAAGGTGAAAGCATGCAGATTAGGTTTGGTGAAAAAAAGCACGGGTGGAGAAGGAGCAGAGCAGGAAGTGAAGTATCGGGGAGGTGAGGGAGGAGGTGCAGAGGCAGAGGGAGAGAAAAAAAAAACTGGCATCAGACATAACTCTTGGAGGAGGAGGACAGAGCTGCTGGTGGGATGGAGGAGGCCAGCTGGAGGGAGGCGCCCTCCTGTGTGTGTGTGTCTGTACAGTAGGTGGCAGACTGTATAGGGCCTTGTCATTAAAAGGTCACTCTCTTCGCTACACCTCATATAGAAGCCAGAGGAGGGTGGTAGGCGTCCAAATGCCACACTCCGAGGAGCAGAGTGTCTTTCCTGCTCAATTAGACTCCAGTCCACATAGACAGGCTGAAAAGCCTGCTCTTACTTCTCTAATGCACACAAGAGTGTTCACACAAATGAAACACCTAAGACGGGGCTGAACTGTGGACCTGTGAGAAATGAAGAAATATTCAGACAAGACCAGGAAGTCTTTACTTTTAGGACCCTGAAGGTTAACTACATAAAATATAGAACATTATTAATAATATAGAAAAGGTCACTTTTGTATCTGATGTTTTTTTTTCTTTTCCTAAAGGCGAGCACTGCTCTGGTGGGTGAGGCAGGGGAAACGAGATTCTTTTTTCAGTTTTGATATTTCCCCTTATAATACCTAATTAATTTCCTTTGTTCAGTCAAATTGTAGGAATTATAATGTTTTAAATGAAGGTCAGTGGAGAGTTAAATCAATAGCTAGAAAGTTGAAAAAGTTTGTAATGTATTTCAGTGTTGGCATACTCAAAACATTTTGCCTTTAGTGCTAACCTTACATTATGTTCTTCTACTGTACATACAGTACATCATTGTATGTTGTCACCATGATGAAGGAACATGTATTCATGACCTGTCACTCAATGCTCCCACAGCCTTAAAAAATATCACTCGTTCTACAGTATGTTATTCGGTGTGACATCTAGTTATTGTCTTTTCACTGCAGTGTAAAAAGTCCCATATGACATTTATGACATTTGACATACAGTTAACTACAGGGATGACAGTGTGAATGGTTGGTAGCTGACTGTGAATGGTTGTTTCCCCACACAGTGGAACCTCGGTTTTCAAACGCCACCGTTTTCAAACAATTCAGTTCACGAGTCAGGAACAGATTAATCTATTTTACATTGATTCCTTTGGGGAAAATTGTTTCAGTTTTCAAATGTTTTGGTTCACAAATGGCCTTCAGGGAACGAATTTAGTTCGAGGTTCTACTGTATTAGATGTGAACTTCATGTAGTTGATATATGAAGTTGTACTACTTAGTAGCAGTTTTGAGCAGAAATCTTTTGTTATTTCTACTCTGAGCATGATGAGGAAGTCACAGCAGTGTCAGATTATTTCGCTGCTGCTGCTGCTGCTGCTGCTGCTTCAGTTTGAATGTGCAGCCAAAGAGCTTGTGGTTGAACTGACTCCCAGAGTTAATATCAGGTGGGTGTTTTTCTAACCAGCAAGCTGTCAGGGCATTTAACTGGAGTAGGCAGCTCACTTCAGTACAGCAGATGGTGTATATGCACACACACACACACACACACATGCGTGCTCACTACGCCCATGTCCAGCCCAGAAGAAGGCTGTAAATCACCTTTAAGAGCCTCTGTCTGCCACCTTGCCTTTCGTCTTTTCTCCTGCACTCAACTTAACGGTGACAGCTGAAGTGAAAAGCTTTTATTGTATAATGGTTGGGACTGGCGGTTTGAAAAGTGTGGCTGTTGACCGACTGATGAAATCAGGAAAGAACGGTGTTAAAGGTTGTATTAAACAGCCGCTGGCCTTTAAATGAGCACTTGTTCTGTGTCCGACCTCAGGTTTGTTTGTTTGTTAGTTTATGGTCTACTGTTTCTGTAGTCGTTTCTGGAGAATGTCAGCCACTTTAATGCATCGGTGCGGTTTGAAACAAGAAACCAAGGTTTTACTTCCTTTTGTGGACCGAAGGATGTTATTCTGATGGTGAGTCAGTTCTGGACCTTGAGACGGTCAAACAATCAGTCGGTGAAGCATTAGAGGAAAAAAAAAAAAGAAAAAGAAAAAAAAGAATGTGGCGTTCTTCAGTTCTGAAAGCCTTTCCTGAAATATATGTGGTTTTCATTCGACAGCTCGAAAATGATGTGCTACTGGCAACTCGTTACACTGCAACACGGCCAGCCTTGACTCGAGCTGTCACTCTGAATTTATTCATCCATTGCCCTAGGTTCCAACCTTGAAAGGAACCAAGAGTGGGTCCCCAGACTTGCTACCCGTTGCCGTAGAGTCGTTTCTTGATACTTCCTCTCTGCACCTTTGCAAATATGGGTGTCGGCCAATTGTTTTTGAGAGCACTCCATCTGCCTCTCCAGTTGTTCGGTGGCTCCGAGGGTCCACCCTCTTAGGAAGAGGCCCCTTCAACGCCTCTCAATCCTGGCCAGTGAGCACCCTCTTATCCTTCCCCGAGCCTCCAGAGGAACATCCAGACCAGATCCCCTGTGTGCTGCTGACCTCTCCACTGTACAGCAGCACTGGTGCATGCTGGTCCCGATTTCTCAAGTATTTCCTGTTGTGTCAAAAAGAGCTAGTGATAGAGAGGGCTTTTCACAAGAAGGCTGTTGAAAGCTGGGCCTTAAAGGTCAAATATCACTCTAATTTTTACTCCACCAAAACTGTGAATCCAGTTGATTCAGACGGATCAGTAATGTAATGTTTCTGACATTTCTTATAGCAAATTCTGTAAGGATCGTTCAACAGATATTCTCTTATCTTTTATCTTTTCTTAGCGTTATTGAATTGTTTTACGAACCTGTAGAGATAAAAATGAATATGAATCAATTTCTTGCACATAGTTTATGGTATAGCATCTTAAATGCAACAGCATTTGAGGTGAAGGTACAGAGGTCAACGACGAGGCAGGAAGTTAGTCAATAACAGCACCAGGAGTCCAGACTGTACCTCCATGACTGCCTCCCTCATCCCTTAGGCACAAGGCCAGTGCGCCACATTCACACACACACACACACACACACACACATCCATGCGTATGCACCTTACCACAGCAGTATACATGCTCACATTACCACACATGAAATCTGGTCTCATCCAAATGCCCTTCTGATGCACACATGCATACATGTAGAAGTGTATGTACTCTATTAAAACAAACACGTGTGCATATACACACACACACACACACACACATTGATGCTCTAGGCCACTGGCCCACATGGTCTAATGTGTTAAAGCGGTGCAGCAGTGGAAAGTAGGACAGAGGGAAACAAACGACAGGATGACTTTGATCCCCTTCCTCCTCCCATCGTCATCATCCACCACCTCGACCACCACCCCCACCTCTGCTACCCAGAGCCGAGGGGGGTTGGAGGTTGAAGGAGAGAGGAGAGGAGCAGAGGGGCAGTGAGAAGGCTGTGGGTTTGAACTGCAGCAGCATGGGTGGAGGGATGGAGGTCAGACTGTCAGCTGAAGTAGAAACATGGGATTAAATCATCCTCTCTGTCACTAATAAACTGGATGTATCTAACGTGAGCGCAGGAGATTCACATCAGTGAGTGAAGGTCTGCTCAGAGAAGAATGGAGAATGAGAGCTGTGTCTAAATGTGTGTTTTTGGACTTTAACTTTAAAAGTGATATCCAAACTGATCATGTTCAGTTTCTATAGTTTTTTTTAACTTTGATCTTCCATAGCTGTTAGCAACTGATATGTAACAGTTAGCCAGAACCCTGTGTTAGTCTCGTTAGAAACCAGTGTCCACTTAGGCAAACTACAGGTTGACATTAGCAAAAAACTGTGTAAATTTAGCCACAAACTAGTGTCATGTTAGCCATGAAAAGTCAAGTTAGCCTGAGCTAGTCTCAAGTTAGCCATAAACTGGTGACAAATGAGCTACAAATCAGTGTCAAGTTAGCTAAAAACAAGGTTTATTGTCTGCTACTTCACCAGCAGAGCAAGTGCTGCTGGGATTCACACCAGCAACTTAATAAAACCAACATCAGAAATGCAGAGAAACTATATTTTCATCACACAGACATCTCTGATTTCTTTATATAAATGTGAGCAAATACAAAGAGAAGGCGTTCAAATCTCTGTATTAGATTTTACACCGTGTTTTTTCCCATTAATCATCGCATGCTAACGTTTTTATGTGGCTTTTCCGCTGCAAATAAAGGTGTGTTTATATGTGCTGCTACATGCACATTATAAATACATGTGTGTGAGCGTACACACAAACGTGTATTTGTGTTGATGAAGGATACTCTGCTCCGCACGGGGTGAGAGTAGCTGCTTAATTATTAACACCTCACCCCCCGCCCCCAAGACTGAAAGTCAAATAAAAAAACAACCCAATTAATATTACAGACCCTGCATACTGCTAATTCAGACACACACACACACACAAGTTAGAGCTAAGAAGCCTAACAATTTGTTTTATTTACTAGACGGAAAAGCACCTCTGATTGAACTGAAC